ATTATCACCACCATCGTTGTAGCCACTGCTATCACCACTGTCACCATCACCACCACCACTACCATCACCGTCACCACCATTATCACTACCACCACCACCATCGTCGTCGTAGCCATTACCGTCGATATATTATATTGTTGGCATCGTAATATGTATACTTATGTTTGTTTATGCAAAGATCAAAAAAATTATGTTGTGAATGCTTGGAATTATTATAATATATTGTATACAACTAAAGCTTGAATTATTATAATATTAAAAATGTAATATTCTAGACCCCTTTCTCATAAAATAAGGGGAAAAGAGAAAAAGAGGAAAAAAAATTGGAATGTTTTTTTAGGAAAAATTCACCAATGCTCATGTGGTTTCCTTCAGAATTACATATTTTTATTTGTATGTAAAAAATAATTTTATTTCTTATAACATAAGAAATATCGAACCCTAATTAATATTGTGAAAAAATTACACTTCTAATATACCAAAAGTTAAACAATGTGATTTATTTGAACAAAAGAAAAGATACTATAAGATACCAAAAATTTGTTAGTGTAAAAAATGGATTGATAGTCACATTTTAGATGATAGTGACAAATATAATGACAGTTATTTTTATAGTAACATTTGTGATAAGGGCAAAAATGATAGTGAAAGCGAGAGTTTTAGTATAAAAAATGGCACTCTTTTTCTTTTCTATTGCAATTTTTTGATTATTATATTATAATTTTTCAACTTTCCATATTTGATATATATATATATATATATATAAATATGTTACAAACTCTTACATATTAATATGTACTCCCGGGAGAACATAGTATAACTTATTGTTCTTCCGGGAGAACATAGTGTAGTTTGTAAATAAAAAGTTTGTAAATATAACCTTCTCCTTATATATATATATATATATATATATATACAAAATAGAAAGAGATAGACTAGAAACGATATCTCTTATCTCAATGAAATTCAAGATAGGGATATTCAATGAATGAAATTAGTAGATCCAACTTTCTATTCACTCGTGGGATCCGGGGGAGACCACCGCGGCTCTCCGTGGACGAACCTTGTGTAGGAACACTTAGATTCTTGAAGCATTGGATTCTCTTCAACGTTTGCGTTACTCAAGGCGACATTCTCTCTTCCGCTACGTCCACTACTGCTTGCATGGGTCCTTCCAACGGGGGCCCTCACAAGCGGTGGAGCATGTGGTTTAATTCTATGCAAAGCGAAGAACCTTACCAGGGCTTGACATGCAGCGAATCCTCTTGAAAGAGAAGGGTGTCTTCGGGAACGCGGACACAGGTGGTGCATGGTTGTGGTGAGCTCGTGTCGTAAGGTGTTGGGTTAAGCCTCCCGAGCGCAACCCTCGTGTTTAGTTGCCAACGTACAAAAGCAGTTTTGGCTGAATATTTTATGTGCCGTGAACGCCACACTTTCATCATTTATGACGATCTCTCCAAACAAGCACAGGCTTCTATATATATATATATATAGGGATATGATTCTTTGACACCGATGTCAAATTTTGAAATTTGACACCAAATCCTAACCTTTGATTTCCGTCAATCAACGGTTATCATTTATTGGGAATCAAACTTATTAATTAATATTAATTTCCAATAAATGATAATATATATACAGGGTCAGGATTATTTTACACCAGTGTAAGTTACACTCTTAATCTTAACCGTTGATCTCGCTTTTATCTAATGGCTATAATTTTTTAGTTATATGAGTCATTAGATACAAGTGAATCAATAGTTAAAATTGAGTGTAATAAAACTTTATATTCTTATACTAGTATAAGAATAACCTGCCCCATATATATATATATATATATATATATATATATATATTGACCTTTAAGTAGTATAAATTTTAGTTTCGTGTCGTTTATGTAATTTACGATTTTACCATTCACCTCTATTTTTATTTAGAAACTCGATTTTGACAACATGATATCTATATATATAAGTATGTAACGCCTATTTCCATCTATGATTATTAAATGTTGCAATCAATTAATTTTAAACAGCAATAGCACTATAACACACAGAAGTTATTTTTCAGATTGCGGACACGATCGGTGTGACTTTCTATTTTACTCACGAAAAGACTCCGTTGAAATAAACCAACTCCCAACCAAAATTTTACCTTAACACTTTTATAAATCATTTCTCAAGACTTATTTCATGTGAATTAGGATTTTTATGAAATGTATTCGTTTGTGTCTTATTTAAAAGGGTTCGTTTTTTCTACAGTTACTGCAGATGAATTATCTGCAGTAAGCCCAATACGACATCGTTTTGGGGCGAAAATCATGGTGTTTTTGTAATTTTAATTTATTTTAAGGTTATAGTAGTCTTTATATTTATAATTTTATAAGATTTCAATATCAAAATGACGTCTTTTTGGAAATAAATGCAGATAACTTATCTGCATTAACTGCAGAAACATTTTTCTCTATTTGAAAATATTTATGTTATGTGATATACTTCTATTATTTATTGACATATTAATCGTTGTAATTTTAATAATAAAATTCATAAAATGAAAAAAAAATTAATTTTTTTATTTCAATTATTAATTATTTTATCAAAAAATAACATAATGAGTAAAAAATTACGTGATCTTTTTAGAATTAGAAATGAAGATGAGAGAATGAATTAGATCTGGCTAATTTGTAAGAGCAAATGCAATTAATGGAGTGATATGACGTGTGTGTATATAAATCAGCTTAGTTGCATAGCATATATATTCCACTTAAATGAAGACTTTTGCGTTCCTAAATAGCTGATAGCTTTGCGATAGCCAATGCAAATAATCGAAATCGAGTGACGCCAACCATATAAAAACAAAATAGTTGTTAAATTTACTATCGAGGTTTTTTATTTTTTAAACGATTCCTCGATTATATAACTACAGTCAAGTAAGATCACAAAAATAGTAAAAGGATAAAAGGATCTTTAATCGAATTGGTTTTCTGTATCCAGACTAATATAAATTCAATTCATTTCATCAAAACAATGTGACTAATTAGCCTGCAAACAAAACTACTTGTTAAAAATAACAATATTACATCAAAACTTATAAAGATTTATTAATCTTATTAATATTGAACTCGATAAAAAATGAGAATTTAAGAATCGGGGGATGTTTCAGTTTATATTCTCACTAATGTAATTTCTATTATAGAAAGCCAAATATTTTTATCCGCAGATCTCTTTAATGCTTAATAAGACTTGCAATTAATGTGGGTATTTTAGTTTTCAGAGTTGGATCTTCCAATAACTAAAAAGTGTACATGCCTGAATCTAACTAGGTTCCCGGTGGTGGGGGAACAATCGATATTGGTTATGTTTGAAAGGTTATGAACCGATTGTTAAGTCCAATCCCAATATCTTGATTTCTAATGACAATACAGGTAAAGGGGGGTTCGAATTGATATTGGTTGTGTTTGAAAGGTTATGAATCAATTGATAAGTCCAATCCTAATATCTTGATTTCTAACGGCAATTCATCTTGAACCTATATATATGTTGTCTGCTAATACACGACCAATTTGTGTTTGTACCAAAATTATTTTCGACATCATTCCATTCAATTACGCGAACCAATTTCTCTCGTCAGATATTTATCTAGTATTTGGAGCATGAAATATATAAAATTTATTTTAAAATATTAGAACTATGATTCACACCTCATTTCATATTTAGATGCCTAAAACACAATCATAAAGTTGAAAGGACCAGAGATTCCTAGAGGCATAACATCCGAAAAGCTTCCTTGACCAACTGGATAGATCAAGAAAATAGTAGTAGCTGCTGCAATAAGAGCTGAGTATCGAGGAATCAAAGAATTTAACCAAAAATACCAAATCAAAGTAGGTCAATTTTTTTTATTCCCGAAGAAGTACATATTTTACCGGAACCTTCTTGCATAATGGTGTGAACAATAGTATCGTTGGAGTAGATACACCAATCACTTTAAATAATCTTTGAATTGGAAAATGGAAAGATTTGTACAAATTATACCCTTCGTCACCACTTTGCGAAAAGCTTATTACACGAAATCCTATCTTTGTAGAATGAGTTGGGGGGGTCAAAGACAAGACATATGTTATTTATCAGCCAAGCATTCAAGTCTTCTTATGACTAGATCCAATCTTCAGGTTCCTGCGGAAAGGAAAAAGAATTTCACGCTCTTCCTTTAGGGAAAGAAGGATTAGGTGGAATGTTATATTAACAAACTTTTTGTTTACAAACTCTTACAAACTACACTATATCTTACTAGAAAGACACTCTTGAGTAAAGTCTTACCGGTAAAACATAATGTAGTTTGTAAAAAAGAAATTGCCCACATAACCCTCCTATATATATATTAAAAAAAAGATTTAAAGTTTCTTTAGATAATTTTATCTAATATTTATCAAAATACACACATAAAAGTATATGAGGCCTATATTTTCTTTTTCTCTCTCTTCTCTTCACATATGTTCACATGGACTACTTACGCGACTCACATCCACATCCACGCTTATCACGTTTTCACCGACGATTTGTTAGTGATGTGGAGCTATTACCTTCATGTAGCTGACAGGAATGGTGCTGATTGGTATGAGATGGCAAGGGGAGTCGTCAACCCACGTGTATGAGATGACGCCACATGTCGTGTCAACGTCCTTGACGGGATTGTTGTGGTTAGCTTGCTGCCAGATGGGATTGTCTGCCGTGGACATGAGTATCGTCACAAACATTGAGAATGCTCCCGTTAGGTTGACCAACGTATTTGTCTGCTCTATAATGTTATGCTTATCAAGCATGCTTTGAACATAACAATTTTTACCTAAATGTTACTATTACCGTGCTTTTGCCGAATATACGGAGTACTCAATTCGACTGTATCACTTAACATATTTTTCTCAACCACAAGTTCCACAACCTTATCCAGCATCAAACACCCTTCATTATTTTAGTTTCAATCACTTAATAATAATACCAATATCTATATAGTCTTGTACATGGCACAAATTGCAAACAGCCCATCCTGTTTTTCTCCGAATGGAAGACGAAGGTGCTGGGTGGCCGATACCTACTTCAATTTTTCTCATCTTGTTTTTTCTCTTTGTCTCTAAATATGTACTAAAGAGACAAGCCAAGCATAGAAACCTCCCACCTAGCCCACCTGCTTTACCAGTTATAGGTCATCTTCATCTGATAAAAGAACCTCTACACAGAAGTCTGCATAATCTAACAGAGAAATATGGCCACATATTTGTTCTCCACCTTGGAACCCGAAATGTCCTCGTTGTGTCATCACCTTCTGCTGTAGAAGAATGCCTTTCCAAGAATGATATCACTTTTGCAAACCGTCCTCACACCCTTGCTGGGAAACACCTCAGTTACAACCATAAATCAGTGGGATTCGCTTCCTATGGCGATCATTGGCGCAACCTTCGGCGTCTAATAACACTTGAGCTGTTATCTACCAACCGTCTGGCCATGCTTGCAAGAATTCGAGAGGAAGAGATTCAACTGTTGGTGAAGCAACTACATGAAGAGTGCAAAGGACACGTGTCAAAGGTGGTAGACATAAGGTCTAGACTGTTGGAGCTTTCTTTCAACATCATGCTAAGGATGATCTCTGGGAAAAGGTACTATGGGAAGGATGCGGTTGCTGAAGAAGGGAGAGAGTTCCAGTTTCTTATGAAAGAGTTCGTAGAGCTGCAAGGAAGTGGTAATTTGAATGACTTCTTTCCAATACTGCAATGGATTGATTTTCAAGGTTTGGAAAAGAGGATGGTCAAGTTGATGAACAAGGTCGATAGCTTCTTTCAGAAACTCCTTGATGAGCACCGGAGAAACAGGAACATCAGTGCCGGAAAAGTCCGAAGGAACATGTCGACGCTGATTGATACTATGTTGGATCTCCAAGACAAGGAACCAGAATTCTACACTAACGAAACTGTCAAAGGCGTTATTATGGTGAGTGAGTAGTTTACATTTGATTTCCTCTTAAATTTTACATAATCACCACCCAATTATATATGGGAATATCCGAATACGGGATTAATATTTATCGTTAAGATAAATTTTATCATATTTTTCTTTTCTTTTCTTCTCTTAGGACATAATAAATATTAATCTTATTATATATTTACTTGAACAAAAGAAAAAGATATTATCGTATCTATTGAAGATCTTGATTTGAAACAAACAATAAAAATAGATATAAATATTCCTTCACAAATAAAGATGCACTAAATTATTCAAAGGACAGGACTAGGATATTTCAAAATCTTTGACAATTGTTTTGTTTATATATATGGTTGCTGACATGTGTGACTCGATTACTTTCAACTGCTATCGCAAGGCTATCAACTGTTGGGCACGCAGAGTCTTCTTTAAAGTAAAATATATACTCAGTGCAATCAAGTGGACATAAATAGAGAGAGACACCATATCACTCAATTAGTTGCATTTGCTCTCACAAAGCTATGATCTAATTATAAAGCTACCAAAAGGAAAAGAGGATCTTTAAAATAAGTTCACAATTTACACAAGTGTTGATCCGGACCTTTTGAATCTTGACGGTTATCTCATAAAAAAAAAAAAAGAACTTTATGATCAGTGTAATAGAGCTACTGCTGACTGCTGACTGCTGTGTAGAATCATTAATAGAGTGCAACATTTAATAATTGTTAAAAACATAGGTGCATGGAAAAGACAACTAACCCTAAGTACATAATCAATAATTCATATATTGCTGTTTTTTTTTTTAATCAAAAGAAAAAATTGACTTGAAAAGAAAATTGTCTTATGTTTAGATGAAGATACAAGTATTAGCAAATGTTTTTAACGTTATAACCAGATTATTTAGTTTAAGAGTACCAAACCAAGAAATATATTATGTCCCTCTATGAAATGAAGATTTCTATTCTTCCCACGAAAATGAAAAAAATTGATTAATTTTTCTGTGCATTTTTAAATCCTTTCAATATCTTCTGTTACGTAAAGCCGTATTTTGACATGAGCTTAATAGTATGTTAAATTGTTGCTACTCTTTGAAGTTACGAGATCGAGACTAACCACCATGTGTGTTTGTTTAAGGTAATGAAGGTTTTCTTTTATCTAATATAAAATGTTTTTGTTCGGTCCTGTTAAACCATATAACTATACCTCATAGGTATGTGCTCAGAGATATCTTAAAGATAGATATCTGATTAGCTTATAGTCAATACTCCAATCACTACGCATAAACAATAGGCTTATGGCCAAGTGTATGCATAATGTTGGCAGTTCAAAAGTATGTAGTTGAGGTATTTAGGCTCTTATTTATAAGGATTACTTTAATAAATTTGTTCCTTCGAAATCTCTCAGTTGATATAAAATCTGTCTTGATTGATGAGGATAGGAATCTTATCTTGATACTGTCTAGATTATATGGTTACGATATCTCCATCAAATCTTGATCGTAATAGGGTTGTTAGGATATGGATCCAGTTCATAACAATTTTTATAATTTTTTTTTTTTAAAAAAATTCGCTTATTTACACTAACTGTAAAAAATCATGCAGGCAATGCTTGTAGCTGGGTCTGAAACTTCGGCTACTACATTGGAATGGGCACTGTCACTTCTCCTCAACCATCCAGAAGCAATGAATAAGACTATTGTTGAGATAGACTCTTACGTGGGGCAAGATCACCTGTTGAATGAACTAGATACTCCCAAACTTAAATACTTGCAAAATGTAATTACCGAGACACTTCGTCTCTACCCTGTGGCTCCTCTCTTGGTACCCCACAAGTCCTCTAAAGATTGCAATGTTTGTGGTTTTGATGTACCAGCAGGGACAATGCTCCTTGTTAATCTATGGACCCTGCATAGGAACGCTAAGTGGTGGGCAGAACCAACAAGGTTTGAGCCAGAGAGATTTGAGGGAGGGCAAGGTTGTGATGTACTTTACAATATGATTCCATTTGGTATTGGAAGGAGAGCTTGCCCTGGAGCTGCTTTGGCAAAACGTGTTATGGGACATGCATTAGGAGCCTTGATTCAGTGTTTTGAGTGGGAAAGAATTGGGGATCAAGAAATCAACATGATGGAGGGTGTAGGGCTTACCATGCCCAAAATTGAGCCTTTGGTGGCATTATGCAGGCCACGCCAAAGCATGATCAAGGTTATGTCGAATATATAAAGTGTGCACTTTTATATCAATTACAGAGCGCAAGTAGAATAAGAGTTTAAGGGACAATAAAATTTTAAGGAATAAGGAGGTCAAACTGTACTTCATTAAAAAAAAAAAAAGGTAAGTTTTTAGTGTAAGATTTTAAATTGCAGAGCGGTCGTGACCCAATTCCAAATGCATAACGTATGTCCCCCGATGTTTGGTAATTATCTTACATAAAGTTTGATATATTATATTGTTGGCATCGTAATATGTATACTTATGTTTGTTTATGCAAAGATCAAAAAAATTATGTTGTGAATGCTTGGAATTATTATAATATATTGTATACAACTAAAGCTTGAATTATTATAATATTAAAAATGTAATATTTTTTAGATTTTAGATGATAGTGACAAATATAATGACAGTTATTTTTATAGTAACATTTGTGATAAGGGCAAAAATGATAGTGAAAGCGAGAGTTTTAGTATAAAAAATGGCACTCTTTTTCTTTTCTATTGCAATTTTTTGATTATTATATTATAATTTTTCAACTTTCCATATTTGATATATATATATATATATATATAAATATGTTACAAACTCTTACATATTATAACGGGAGAACATAGTATAACTTATTGTTCTTCCGGGAGAACATAGTGTAGTTTGTAAACAAAAAGTTTGTAAATATAACCTTCTCCATATATATATATATATATATATATATACAAAATAGAAAGAGATAGACTAGAAACGATATCTCTTATCTCAATGAAATTCAAGATAGGGATATTCAATGAATGAAATTAGTAGATCCAACTTTCTATTCACTCGTGGGATCCGGGGGAGACCACCGCGGCTCTCCGTGGACGAACCTTGTGTAGGAACACTTAGATTCTTGAAGCATTGGATTCTCTTCAACGTTTGCGTTACTCAAGGCGACATTCTCTCTTCCGCTACGTCCACTACTGCTTGCATGGGTCCTTCCAACGGGGGCCCTCACAAGCGGTGGAGCATGTGGTTTAATTCTATGCAAAGCGAAGAACCTTACCAGGGCTTGACATGCAGCGAATCCTCTTGAAAGAGAAGGGTGTCTTCGGGAACGCGGACACAGGTGGTGCATGGTTGTGGTGAGCTCGTGTCGTAAGGTGTTGGGTTAAGCCTCCCGAGCGCAACCCTCGTGTTTAGTTGCCAACGTACAAAAGCAGTTTTGGCTGAATATTTTATGTGCCGTGAACGCCACACTTTCATCATTTATGACGATCTCTCCAAACAAGCACAGGCTTCTATATATATATATATATAGGGATATGATTCTTTGACACCGATGTCAAATTTTGAAAT